ATTCTTTGATGAAAACACACCATTTGGACTTACGTGTGAAGTTTGCACAGCGAAATTCGGAAGTCACACGCAAAATGATAATGGCTCCGACCGATCCAATGTACATAAACCGAGTGGAAGTCATGAAAACTCAAATCAAACATCTCAAATGAACCAACCTGGTATGTTGCCGGCTAACATTAGCGTATCCAACAAACCAAATGTGCATACCAAACGAATTGTAATACCGACGGAAGATGCAAATGGACTATACACTTTGTACGTTTCCAAAGCTGATTCAGATTCATCTTCAGATGATATTGTCAGCTACTTAATGGAAAAAGCCAACCTAAACCCGGATATATTCAAGGTTTTTGCACTGCCCAGCAAAAGAAAATACCGCAAAACCTACAATGCTTTCAAAATAACCGTATTCACACGGGAGGTATGTGAATTGCTATGCAACTCCGATATCTGGTCAAGTGAATATCGTGTTAGAGCTTTTGAAAAAACACGTAATCGAAGTAATGTTCATGGGCGAAAACACAATGACTACCGTCGTACAACAGCCAAGTCAACTTCAAACTCACGACATTCCAATAGATTCAACAACAACAGTAACAAACATCACACCAGACACAACCGGAACAATAACAACAACAACAATCAGCGTCGGGACATGAATAACCAACACAGACGCCGACGTGAGGATCGATCGAATGAATTTGGCTACCATAATCGAAATCGTAATAACCACAACGGTCGATATAATTATGAACCTCGCCATCGTGTAGATCACATGCACAATGGACAATTGCCACAGACCAATATGCCGCCTCCTTTTTGGTACCAAACGCCATATTTCTACCCTCCACCTCAGCAACAGGTTCATTCTCAGCCAACTATGCCACTATTCCATCCGCACTATACACACGCACCACAGCAAAACTTCCAACCGTTCAACGCTCAAAATCACAATGGAATGTAAGTCATACAATGCTTGATGACGTTTTGATATACTGTAATAATTTGAACGGCGTGAAAAGTATAGACAAATCAGTTGATTTTTTATCTGAAGTTTTAGCAGCGATTTTTAAAATTTACATGTTAAGCGAAACGCACCTCAACGCGAATGTTTCTTCATCAGAGATATTTCCGCCGAACTTTGAAGTATTCAGATGCGATAGATCACCTGCCACTGAACAGTTTCAGCGTATCAAGAGAAAAGGCTGGGGCGGTGTTCTTATCGCAATCGACAAGACATTCAATCCGCAATGTATCGGAACAGCTGAACATCTTGGTGCTGAACAAGTATGGGCCAAAGTAGAATGCAACGGCAGAAACTTGATACTGGCACAAGTTTACATAAGACCAGATTCACCGTTGGAAGTTTATAAAGCTCATATGAATGCATTGCGTGAAGTAGCATCAAAAGCAAATCAAAATGATGTATTGCTTGTATCAGGTGATTTCAATCTGCCCAATCTGATTTGGTATACATGCAACACAAATGATGCCCATGATCCTGATATTAATTTTGAGCCAAATCCAGAAGTGGCTGTTGCTGTAAATGTGGTGAGCGAAAAAGAGAAAATTGTCATCGATACGTGCCACGATCTGGGTTTGTTTCAAATATGTACTCACCACAATGAAAACAAACGAATGTTGGATTTGCTATGGACGAATGAGCCCAACATGTTCACATGCAATATGAAACACATCATCAAGCACTCGAGGTCATCATCCATGATAAAATT